GAGGTTCAGGAGTCCGGAGCCTGGGCGATTCATTGATGAGAGTCCAACAATGTCGAGTTGCTTTATGGCGTCATCAACTAATTCTATTTGTTTTCTTCTGAGTGAGGATATTTTCAAATTTCCGACTTTTAGGTCCCACTGTTGGTGTCGTGGGCCCTTTTCTGACATGCTATAATGGCATCGCGGGGTCTGCGTTCGCCATTCAGAACGGGTAGCGACCCCGTTGCTGACTGGCATCTTCGTCGTAGTTCCGTGGATCTTCGTCAGGCGTCGTTGTGCTGCTACGCCCCGCTGGCAGAGGGCAATGAGCAGGTTCTGATCGCCGACTTTTCGCAGTCTGCCTCAGTCCCTAAGCAGCCTGCGCGGCCCTTGTTAACCCGGACGACGACCGAGCCGGTATGATTTTCGATGACGTCGATACCATGAGTGGCAGGTGGCTGAATTTTACGGAGACTTGCCGCCGTCTCCAACCTTCCTCCTTTCTCATGGAGGCTTTGGACCGACAACGTTGGAAAAAAATTCATATTTTTCAGAAACATTAGCACAGATTGTGAAAAAAACTAATTTTTAAAATAAAATTTTTTTTGAGGAATTGATTTTGAGTTTTTGAGGAATTGAAGTTTCTAAATAGAAATAATTGATTTTTCAAAAATCGGATAACAACTTAAATTAGAACTCTTTTAAAATTCTTGAAACACTCCATACTGCTAAATGATTCTCGACCGTTAAACACATTGGTTTGTTTAGACAAAGTTTCCGCATCGCCGTGTCTGAAAGTTTATCAAGAAGGCTAACTTCGCCATTTTCCGCCATAAACCCATTTTGACTGTTTATAGACTCGATGTTGCTTTATTACCATTAGATATGACTGATTACTACTGATAAGCATAGGAACGAAAAACAACTTTAACGCAGACTGCAAAGTCTTTAGAATCTGCTCACTGCACACGGGCCAGTTAACAAAGAACGCCGCTGAACATTCCAATTGGCCAGTCGACCTCTTCCTCCCATTGTCCATCATTGGCAGTATAACTCTGAGAGAAATGACCTATTCTGCATGTTTCGTTGCTCCTTCGCTTACTTGCAAAGCGCAACAGTCAGGAAAAGCCTTTTGATTTAGAAACGCTCACTCGCATGCCAGTGACGACGCAACTGACTGCAAACCTTCTCGGAGAACGCTGAAAATCAGTTACAGCGGAAGCCAACAAAACAAGATCGTGTGCAAACAGCAGAATTCTCTCCGTCTCCCGATGTCCTACTTTGATACATTCGTCGCTTCGCATTAGATTGATAGTCATACTGACATGCAACACAAACAGGAGGGACCAAAACAGCTTTTGCGGAGACAAACGCCAAACAGGGAAGGTCTTCGACTTAACACTACTCAGATGCAACATCTGATAACAACATTAAGATACTGCAAAATTTTTTGAAACTGCTTCCATAAAAATAAATTACTTTGCTCTGAAGAAACCAAGACAGTGGTCCGAAGTGAGACAGATCGGTTATGACAATAAACTGCGCGAAACAAAATGCCAAATATATAAAATTTCCCTAAACGGAATTATTCAAAAGTCAACAAAACAGAATCACTAGAACCAAATAAAACTGATCATCATCATGAGCCTTTTTCAATCGACTCGGCATGAAAGCCTTTCAAAGACAACGCCATAGACTCCTGTTTTATACCGCATTTACCCATGTTAATCCATCGAATTTCTACTGCTCATCCCGCCATCGATATGGAGGTCTTCCACGGACCGCTTACTCTTCTTAGGATCCAGTCAAAGATCCCTCATGGCTGGCAACTTTGGTCATTGTCACAACATTTCCTGTCCACTGATACTTTAACTTCTCCACTCGTGAAATGATGACGCAGTATCTTGTTTCTGCACCAACCCGTTCATTATTCTCCCTTTGTTTTGCTGCCAGCCCAAACATCTTTCCATGCAGCGTTGTGCCATTTATGGATAACCGTTAGCTAAGGGGCTATGTTTCGCACCAACAGATTAACGCTTGCATGACATACTGATCGAATACATTCTGTTTCAAGCACTATGGCAGTTTCAGGATAAAAACATTTTCAATATTTCGAAACAGCTCCATATCATTTATGTTGTTCTGCTGCATTTCACACAGTCGGTTATCTGTTGCAGACATCTGAAGAACATTCATTTCATCTTGAACAAATACGTGACCGAGATACCTATGAAAGTCGACGGAATCAGACACAATTTAGAACTTCTTCAGCCCAAGTTCGTCGACTTTTATAGGTATCACGGTCATGTATTTGCTCAAGATGAAATGAGTCTTCTTCAGGTTCATTTTAGTCTGCTTTGACACTGGCGTCGTTAAGCTTTAGAATTCGGCGACGTTCAAAAGGTCAGAATATCGACCGCAACCGTAGGTGGCTTAGTTATTTATTTAACTTCACCCCCTGATTTTCCTAACTGAGAGTCTTGAAAAACTCCTTTAGGATGCTACTGCTTCTGTGTTGTTGCGTTTCCTTCTCTGATGCCTTTCTCGATTTGAATTTGTGCCTTCATGAATGAATGAAGCTTCAAAATAGCGGCTACATTCTTGTGCAACAGAGTGATAAGGTCTCTGTACATTTTTTCATTTTTCTGGCTCCTCAAGAAATCCACTACAGAACGGACACAGACTGAGTCGAAAGCCTTCACAAGATTGACGAACCCCAGGCAGAAAGCTAATATTCGCTGCCTGACTGAAACTGATACACAGATAAAACTGAAAATCATCTGTGTGCTTGACTCTTACAGTTAAAAGATTGCGGGTTCAAATCCAAGCTGAATCAGTGGTTTCTCATTGTTTTGACGAGCACTTCTATTGGAAGCTATGCACTGCATCATTTTCAAAAGAGCTGATACCCGCTGTAATGGCATAGTAGCAGAGTTAAACGACGCTATCCACTTTGTCCAAGAAAAATGATGAGAAAGCGAATATAATCTTGTCTGGGTTTTCTTACACGAAGGGATAAAACTCATAAAAATTAAAACATTAACAGATTTAATTTAAATAAACAAATATTTGTAGAAAATAATGGCGAGTATTTTTAAAATGCCAACGGCTCAAGAATTAGTATAAATGAAGATCATA